CTTTGCCTTCAGCAAATATCTCCTTTCTTATGACATGTATGAGTCTTGTAGGCATGGTTCTGCTTTTGTGAGGAGTGTTGTTGAAAGTTTTGCCCTATCACCAACCTCCATTGTTTGTGTAAATAGTGTCTAGTCACTTCAGAATTTAATCTGTAAAAGTCAACAATTCATGTATTGCATTCTGAAGCCAGCCTATACTTATATAATCTCCTTTTCTCAAAAATGCTTTAAATTCTATACCATTGGTTAAATTAATGACACCATCATAGAAGTACCTTATGCTCTAGGGGGATGCTTTATAATGTTCTGTATCATAAAATGAGCCTTGGTAGCATAGTGATGAAGCATTGGCCTATGACTTAAAGGTTGGCAATTTGAAATCACCAGTGGTTTCTCTGTAGGAGAAAGATGGCACTTTCTAGTCCTGCAAACAGCTATAGTCTCGGAAACTCCCCGGGGCAGTTCTCTCCTGTCCTACGATGCCACTATGAGTCAGCATCAGTTCAATGACAGTGAGTTTGGTTTTCTTTATCTTTCTTTCTTTTAATCATAAAATAATAATTATGTCTCTTAAAGTGAACCAGAGACATATATAAACTAAAGCTATATGAATGGATTTGGAGTTTGCCTTAATTCTAGTCCCAATCTAAGAACAATTAATTCTTATGACCTGGCTGCTCAATGCTTGCTCTCATGAAGAGATCACTGAAGATACAGGTGATAGCTATAGCAGAGTGTGGTGACAAAACCAGGCAGTGTCCAGCTACCAGAAAGAATAACATCTGGGGTCTTAAAGACTCATCTGCAAACAAGCAGCCATCTAAATGCAACATCAACTAAATCCGCATGGAAGAAGCACACCAGCCTGTGTGATTCAAGTGTTGTAAATAATAAAATCCAAATCCGAAGGAAGGAATGAATGGTATCAGAACTACTGGAGGCTTAATTAGTGAGTGGATCCTGCAACTGGATTTTGAGTTTCCATTGTCATCCATAGCCTGCAAACCAAAGGTTCACAATTTGTGTTCTGATAGTGGAGGGATGGGAATAACCTTGCCATCTGACGACATTGTAAAGTCACTTATGTCAGATGTAGATAGGCTTAAATGTATTACCTTATCATTTGATCTTCTTTTTTACCCATTTTAAAGTTGTTTCAGTTTTTAACATTTTCTGCTTTCTCTTCCATTGAGGTTTTTTAGGTTTAGTTTAGTCATTGTTTTTTATTTGTTTGCCTCCTGCTTATGTTCTGTATGATTTGCAGTATATGAAACCCAGGATAGGTAAATCTATAGAGATGGTAAATGGATGAATAATTACCCCAGGGCCATGGCAGGGGAGCAGGGGGGAAATGGGGAGCTAACTACAATGAGTATGAGAAGAAAATGTTCTGAAATTGATTGTGGTGGTGATTGCACAATGCTTCTTAATATGATTAAACAATTTAATTGTATGATATCTGAAGTATATGCCAATAAAACTAATTTTTAAATTTGAAATAGAAATGCCATATGATCCAATAATCTTACTACCTTGATATATAACAATGACTCTGTGAAACACCTTATAACATGGATGAATCTGGAGGACATTATATTGAATGAAATAAGTCGATCACAAATGGACAAATACTGTATTAGACCACTATTGTCAGTTTTCACACTGAAAAATACTTTCTGTGATGCCTACCAGAGTGGGAGGGTAACAGAAAGTAAATTACTAACTAGAGGGTAGACACAAATGATGGGCTTTTAAAAAGTTTGTGATTAAATCCCTCAGGAACAGTAGTGGGAGTAGCAATATCATGAAGGTAGGGGGATGGTGGGGGAGGGAGAAGAGGGAGAAAGGGGGAACCCATCACAAGGTTGGATATGTAGTTACACACACAC